ATATTTGGGATGTATTTACACTGAAAAAGTATTCCTTATTTATCTGAAACTCAAACTCAACCAGGCATCTTGTATTTTAGGTAGCAGCTCTACTTTGGTCACATTTTAGTTTGCAAATGTTTTTGAAAGGTAGTGCCTAGAGCTTAAGGCATTGTTCCATTTGAACCTTCAAGCAGAGCTCAAGGTGGGTGAGAAAGTCTGATGGAGGAACAGTGGTAAGGGGAAGGAATGGGGACCCCCTCACCCCTTGACCCGCTCCCCATTACCCTCACCCATGCTTCTGTGTGAAGAACAGGGTAAAGCGCCTTCTAGAGAAGGCAGAAAGCCCCTTCCCTGGCATACCATCTTGGGACCAGGGCACAAGGTCAGGCCAGGTGGGCACCTTTGGGTACCATCATGCTTGGCAGCCATAACTTGGTAAAGCATCTCCTCCACCATCCCTAAGCCCCCTCTAGCTATTTTCAACTTCTGTGATGTGGCCGCACTTCCTTCCCGTAATGGACTCTGCTGTTTCTATTCATTGTTGGAGGTATTTTCAGCCCAGATGATAGCATATTGGCACAAAACTACACACAATAACTGGGGCCTCTCTCTGCACTTACTCCCCTTCAATTTCCTTTGCTCTTCTGGCATCAATCTTCTCCCCTTCCTTTACAGCATTCCAGGTCTTTTGATACATTAAACTAGATTATAAACTCCTCTAGGGCAAGGGCTATGCATACTCGTAATATAGTAATAATGCCTCACTTTTGTAGAAAGTTTTTATTGCAAAAGCCTTGTCTCATTCCATTTTCTTATTTTTCTCCTCACACTTTCACCCCAGTGTCGCTGCAGGAGCAAATGTTTGGAAGTCACTCCTGGTCTGGAACCAGGGCCAGTTCTACACATCTAAGGACACTTTCTCTGTTATCTCCCATTTTGGTCTTTGAGGCCAGAGGTCACAAAGCACAGCCTTTGGCAGGACTATACTTAACCCATTCCAGGCAGATAAGACCCCTTTCTGTTCTTGAAACTTGTCAGATGGGCATTCCACGACTCCCCTCATGGCCTCACTGAATGACTTTCACTCATCAGGAAATGAAGGCTTCCTCTCCCCCACCCCTACCTTTTTAACTCGTAATTCCATTCTCTTATTCTATGATTAAATCTTAAAGTTCTTTTTGATTAGTAATCCCCGTGTTTAACTTCAATAGGAGAAATAGACACCTGGAACCAATACAAAGGAAACGTAGTGAAAATGATTAGTGGAATGAAATGTTGCTATGGAACATACTCTTTTGCTGGCCATTCTGCTAAAATAGCATCAGGGTCACAGAGAGAAGCAGAGAGAAAGTGAGGGAGGGAGAGAGAGAATGGGCTGATGGAGGCAGCAAAGGTAACACACAGGGTCTGGGTGAATCTTAGGATAATCGGCAAATTCATTCATTGGGACCTTTTGACACTTGCATGTTCACCTTTAAAACAGTAAGGCGATTTTACCGATCTCAGCAGGAAAACCTGTTAGAGGTGAGAGCGTAGGACCCTCAGGGGTTTTCAGGGGCAACACCTGCAGACAGACCCCTGTAATCAAGAGACAGTAATGGTTGGCTGTTGTGACCAGAGCCTCTAAGGGTCTCCGTGATCTGGCAGGAAACCTACAGAGGGGGGACTCCGCTCCCTGGGGATGGGTGTGGATCAGAGTTGCTGGAGAGTGAGCCTTCCTGCCCCGGGCAAGCCTACAGACTAAGCAAGCTGAGAACAATTGGTTGGGGCAAAAGCCTTACCTATATACATGGGGTTACTCACTCTGGAAAATATTAATAAAAGTCATTCATAATGAAAGCATCATCAGATTCCAGAGTTATGACTTAACACATTGTGTTGGTCTGTTTCAGGTGCTATGTTCCTTTAGCTCGAAACATATTTTATCCTTTGGTAGTTAGGACTATGAAAAGGGTGTGGTGCTATGTCCAAGCACCTGTAGTTATTAATTTAGTCTCATTTTCTGCTACATAAATGGTTATCTAAGGCTGACTCTCATGACATAACACAGCTGACTACCCACTGCCAAGAGACCATCCACTTTTGTCCTCATTGTACTGGCCCTGCCTGGAAAGTCTTATTTCTTCTTTCCATTTCAACTAACTACTGCTGTTTCAATGACTGTAAGATGCACCATTAATTTAATAACATCTGGGGGTGGGGAAGGGAGGAGAATCCGTTCCACACTGAATACACAATGTCTGTTGTTGGCTCATCCGTCCACCTCACAGCTAGAGACCTGCTGGTCATTCAAGACTCGGCTCACAGTCATCCCCACTGAGCGGTTTTGGACAAGCTTGCTCAGGGTTGACCGCTCCCTTATGTCACAATTGCATCTGGCTGTCACACTCACTGAGGCAGGAGGCACAGACTCTAAGCACCTCAAGGGCAGGAGCAGTTATATTTACCTCTGTTTTCCCAGGCTCCAGCCCAGTAAGTGGCATTAATTCACTCCACAAATATTTACTGAAGACCTACCGTGTGCCAGGCACACTTCCTGACTTGCACTTTGTTAAACAAACGTTTTTAGCAAACATCGACTCTACAGTGATGTGAGAGACATAAAACGAGCATATGACAGTCTCTCTCTTCCACTATTAGACAGAGATGGGAGCACTGTGTCTGCGGTCAGCTTGAGCTGATATAACAAATATCATGAACTGGGTGGCTTAAACAACAGACAATTATGTCTCCCACTTCTGGAGGCTGTGAAGTCTAAGATCAAGATGCTGGCCCATTCAGTACCTGGTGAGGACCCTCTCCTGGTTTGCAGACAAATGCCTTCTTGCTGTACCCTCACATGGCACAGATATAGGTATAATGCCTCTCACGTCTCTACTTATAAGGGCACTAATCCCATGCAGGAGGGCTCCATCCTCCAGACTGAATTATTCCCTGAAGTCCCCACCTCCAAATGCCTTTGGAGATTAGGGCTTCAATTTATGAATTTGGTGGGGGGACACAGTACATTCAGTGCATTGCATGGGCTAAACTGAATGTGACCAAGGACCAGAATGTGTGCTTCAGATGTTAAGCACTGTGGGTAGTTAAGAAATGGAAAGATTTGAGCTTCTGGAGGGGTCAGGTCTTACTCTTCTCTGTAGCTTCAGCATCTCTCAAGGCCTAACAAGAGGCTTGCATTTAAGGTTGATTGAATTAAATTGAAAGACTTCCCAGAGAAATTCTAGAGGATTCCATGGGATGGGAAATGCAAAGGAACTGCTAGGTAGGTGAATAGCATGAAGAAAGGCTTGGTGACAAAAATAAATTTAGAAGAATTTTTTTTTAGCATGTTAAAACATATGTAACCTTCTGTTGTTTAGTTGCTAAGTATTACCTGACTCTTTGCAACCCTATGGACTGTAGCCCGCCAGGCTCCTCTGTCCATGGGATTCTCCAGGCAAGAATACTGGAGTGGGTTGCCATTTCCTTCTTCAGGGGATCTTCCCAACTCGGATTGAACTGGAGTCTCCTGCATTGGAAGGCAAATTCTTTACCACTGAGCAACTAGAAAGTCTCATATATAACACAGAATCTACCATTTTAACTGTTTTTAAAGTCTACAGTCCAATGGCATTAAGTACATTCACATTATTGGCCCATCAGGGACTAATTTTTAAGTCTCTTCAGATGGGTTCATACCTGGCTAAAGGCACTTTTGTTAGTGGAAATAAGAAACACTTGTTAGTGGAAATAACGATGTACTGGAGTAAAAGCAATGTTCCTCTCCCAGTTGGGGCAGTTTCCCATTAACATCTGTGATTTGTTTTGCATATATTAGAGAGGCTGTGACACTGGGGGGTGGGGGGGGGGGGGCACCAGTGCTGTGTTTGAATTATCCTTGAGAAGTTTTAAACAATGAACACTAAAAATTTTCCCCTAATACTGGGTCATTTGTATTCAAATTAAAAGCACAAAGCCCCACTGTGGGGGGAAGGAAAGAATCTTTATTGGCAACCAGTTCTGTCCACTTAAAGCAATAAATAAAAAGTTTAAAGAGTACATTTCATATGAAGTACTGAAGCTATTAATACACTTTGGCTCTGAGCGTCCGCATCCCCCCCACCATGGGTCTATTTGTGGGAAGAGTTAATCAGTGCCATAGGCACCCGGAGAAGGAAGAAAGGAGGTGGGCGAGGGGAGGCGAGGCCTACCCAACCACAGGGCAGTGAGCAGAGCCTGTGAGATCTGGGTTTTGGTCTTGACACTTCGCTGTGAATCTTCGGGCAAGGCACCCAAACACTTCACGCCTCTGCACCTTGGAGGCTGGAATCCCCGGAGTTTACAGTCCTTTCATCTCTTTCAGTCCTATCTGGACAATATTTAGCCAAAGTTCGAGACGAGTGGGTGACCGTGCGGGGAGTTAGCTGAGGGACCCGGAGGCCCACGTGGGGACTCCAGAGTGGTGGGACGCAGGGTGCCTCGGAATGGCGCTCAAGCAATGGGATTTCCAGACGAGTCTTTCCAAGGCCAACTTTTAAAGGTCGGAGGAAAGTTTGTGGCGGGGCGGGGGCCCCGAGGGGGGAGAGCTGGGTGGGCTCCGACGCCTCCTCCCCTTTAAGCGGGTGGTCCCAGCGCCGCCTCCGTTACCTGGAGCGGGGAGGGGCTTGGGAAAGTTTGTGTTTGTTGCTGGCAAAGCGCCGGATGGGAGGCGCGGGCGGGCGGGTGCTGCGGTTCTTCCCTCCCGCTTTCGGGAAGCGGTCGGGGCTGCAAGCTCAGCTCGGCGGGGCGGCCCTGGCGCCCGGCTCCCGGTGCCCGGCCGGCTGGAGGAGGCGGGCAGAGGCGGGCGGGAGCGGAGCGGAGCGAGGGGCGCACGTCCGCCCCAGCGCTGGGATTTCTCGGCTCGCGAGGAGAGCGGAGCAGGCGCGCGGCCCAGGCGGAGGAGCGCTGACTCTGGAGCAGCCGGAGCTGGAGGAGGAGGAGGAGGAGAGGCGGCGGGGAAGGAGGAGGAGGGGGAGAGTCGCTCCCGCCCGGAGAGCATGGGGCGCCTGGCGCCGAGGCCGCTGCTGCTGGCGCTCCTGTCGCTGGGTGAGTGCGCGCGGGGCCCGGTGAGGCGCTGGGGGCTCGGCCGGGCGCGGGGGGACCGGCGGGGCGCGGCTGCCGCGCGCGGCCTGGAGCGCCGACGGGGCCGGGGCCGCTCCCGGGAGACCTGCCCAGGGTCCGCGGGCGGCAGGGCCCGGCTGGGGAGAGGGCGCGGGGCCGCCCGGAGCGGGGCGCGGGGTGCCAGTCGCCGTCCTGTAGGCCGAGCCTCGCCCCCATGTGCGGGGGGGAGTGGCCCGCGGCCGGCTTCCCCCGGCCCTCCCTACCTGTTAGTCGCCAGCTGCCGGCTCACCTTGAACTCCCGGCCCGGAAGGTGCCTGCGGTCCCGGCCCTAGTCCCGGGCTTGCGAGCGGAAATCTGCGGCTTTGATCTGCCCCGCCATGGCCGAGAGAGGCAGAACCGCGCTCCGCACACACTCCCCCGCGCCCAGTTGCCTTTCCGGGGAAGCGAGAGGATCCACCAACTTCCTTCTCCGAAGGTCACCGGGTGGCCCCGAGCGCTACAGTCAGAATGGGTGTGCGGGGCCCTCCGTTGTGTTAGTTGTAACTAGCTCTTCTGCCTTAGTCTTCTCCTTCAGCGCCTGTAGAAGCTGCCTCGCTGCATATTCGCACACAAAGACCTGGGTGCCTTGGCTTCTTCAACTTTTCCTACCTGTTACTTTTCTCCCTTGCTGTCCCCCTGTCTTCCACACTCTCTAAACCTCGGTGCCTCCTGATCCTTTGACCCAGCGCCCTCCATCCAACCCAAGGAATCTTTGGTGTTTTCCCTCCGCCCCCATCTTCCATACACACAGACACCATCTTCACCTTGTGTAATGTGGTTATATTAGTATAACCAAGTGGTTATCAGCCACAGAAATCATCTGCTTAAGTGCCCACCGTGGATCAGGGAGGCTGACTCTTAGAAGCTGTTCTTGAAGCCTTTAGTCAGTGTCAACCAGAACAGAAGGAATCCTGTGACCTGCCTGGGGATTTCTTCCTCACCGCTGGAGAAGGCAGAACTGAGTCTTTTATAAAGCCACGCAGTGTGTGATGCCTATCCTAGCCAGGCCCCAGCTGCACACAGGCTAAGTGGCTACGCTGCACTTACGGTCAGAGGGTCCCAGTGGAGGCCTTCCATTGCCACTGCCAGCCTGGCATCAGGGCTCACGCTGTCCCCACCCCTGTTACTCCTGCTGCTGGTGGGGGCCCGCCTTTCTAGCTGCTACTGTGTTTTCTTCCTTCCCCTCTGAGGGGTTTTCTGGAACTTCCTCCCTAAGAGAGCTCACCCAACCACCACATTGCTTTAGATGCCACCAGGTGCAGAAAGCTTGCACATCTTTCACTTGATTTTGTGGCATCTGTTCTGTGCTCTCAGATCCTAGTGCTTTTATTCTCTTCCTTTCACTCTGGGACCCTTGTAGGTTTTGCAGCTTGCACATCTTTCACTTGATTTTGTGGCATCTGTTCTGTGCTCTCAGATCCTAGTGCTTTTATTCTCTTCCTTTCACTCTGGGACCCTTGTAGGTTTTCCCTTTGTTGCACACCGCTGGTGATAGTCCACACCCATTACATAATTGGCTGATGTGTCTGGGTCAGGCAGGGCCACGGCCACTGGTGGCACTGATTGTGCACTGCATAACTCTAGGAACAACTCTAGGAGCTGCCGTCACTTTCTGCCTGTGTGAATGACCCTCCCTAGAGTTGTGCAATTCACAACCCTGGCACTAGTTAAGTGGGTGGGGCCAGGTAGAAACTTGAAAAGAATGTCCTCGAGTAATCACGGTAAGAGGAAAAAAGAGAAAGGTCAAAAAGAGACTAACAAAAGCAAAAACCGAAGTGGGGAAAGCCCGGCTTGGGGTAGCTTAGGTGTACCAGTCCACCCTGCCTGGCTGGATGTCTCATGTCACCTATGCGCCTGGAATGTCTCTGGTGTCACCAGTCAATGCTTTGCCCCCTAACAGTTACTGAACTTCGTGTTTGCGTGATAACTCTGCCATACCGAATCTCACTTGGTGTGGCTTCAGTTTGACCTCCCAGATGCCCTCCCTGTGATACTCTACGCTGTACTGATTGCTGCCACCCAGTATGTTGATAAGCTAGATCATCTTTCCTCTTGTATTGCAACCTGGGCATAGTCTTACTGTCACTTTCTTTGACCTCCACATTCACTCTGTCTCTCAACTCTGTCGCTTTTCCCACAGTGCAGACTCCAGCATCTTCTGCTCTGCCTTTATCTAAAGCTACTGTCCTCACCCCAGTTCTGACAGCTCCCCACACAGATCGGACATCTTCCTGTTTGACTTTTTCCACCGGCCTCCCTTCGGATTGTTTTGGAGGCGCCACCTTGTTTCTGTGATCCCTTATGATTCTCTTCTGAGGATGTTCTGCCCCTTGTATTCTCTCCCCTGCTACTTCTCTCTGAGTAGGGACTCTCATTCTAAGGACCTTGTTTGCTACCCTTTACGTTGAATGTATGTAAACCTTCTGGTCTTTCCATTTCCCATGACCTGGGAAAGTGTCTCCTGCTTCTTCCCTCTTACCTGTCTATTTCCTTTCCCCCTTAAAACTGCTTCCTCCATAAAGCTTCTCTAAATGAGGCTACCTATCACAATCACAGCAGAACACACTCAGCTTCAGGTTTTCACTTCCATGGCCTATGTCTGACCTGTCTTATCCATCCATTTAATACAGCACTTCTTGAATGCCCACTGTGTCAATAAGAGTGTCCCAGACAAATGGCCAAGACATAGCGTCTCACTGATTGATCAGTCGGGATGGGCGGACAGTTAATAATAAGAGCTAAATACAAGCCAGAATGACATACCTGACATAGAAACCAGGTGCTGGTAGGAAGCAAGGAAGAGGATGATTAATTTAGACTTGGGATTGAAGTTGATTTTGCTGAAGAGGTGCCATTTGAGCTGAGCCTTGAAGATAATTAGTATTTTGAGAGAAAGGATGGGAGAGGCTTCCAGGCTCTGGGGAATGGCACCCAGTGTGGATGAGTAGAAAGGACATGGTTCATTCAGAAAGGGCATGGAAGTTCCATGAAACTGGAGGAGGGAGGAGGATACACTAGGAGGGCAAATTGGGAAAGTGGGCCTGGGTTGGATTCTGAAAGCTGTTCCTGCAGTGCTGAAGTCCTTGCCACTTGGATGGGTTAGTTTGCCTTGTGGGCGCTGCCACACAACTGTGCTGCTCCCATCAGAGCACGCACTTATCTCACCGTGTACGATTTTTCCTGCTCTGAATCCCCACTCTGATTATCTCTCATGAGGCAGGGACGAGGTTGGTATTGTTTGCTGTAGTATTCCTCATACTGAGTGTCCGGTACAGAGAAGGTGTTTGGTAAATACTGGCTGCCTGAATGAATGCATGTATATATCGTTTTATCTGTGGGTTATGGTCTGCCATTGCAAATTTGCAATGTGAGACTGATACAGCATGGTGATGTGTTTGAGGAGGTCAGTCCTAGTGTGCGGCATGAATTAGTGGGAGGTATGAAGACTGTGGAGAGGGATTAAGGTACTCTCTTCATGTGCATCTTTTTGGAAAAAGTTGCAAATCCATCAAAATAGTTTCTAAACAACAAAAACATTATGTCTGTTTTAAAATCCAAATTTCATAGATGGGTACTGTATTATTCTATTGGGTAGGCTGAATTGTTCTCACAAATAGACTGAAAGCACAGTGGTTCAAACAACAGAAGTGTCTTTCCTAGCTATTCTTGGGGGGCGGGGAAGTGGGTTGGGGATGTTTCCAGTGAAATGGTTGGGTGGGATTGCTGTTCCACACGGGCATTCTGAGCTCCCAGGCTGATGGTGGTTTTGCTGTCTTCAGCCTGTAGTTTCTAAGTTCACATGGGTTGTCATCATCACCTTTCCAGCTCCGTAAATAGGGGGCTTCCCAGGTGGCTCAGTGGTAAAGAATCCGCCTGCCAATGCAGGAGACGCTGGAGAATCAGGTTTGATCCCTGGGTTGGGAAGATTCCCTGGAGTAGGAAATGGCAACCCACTCCAGTATTATTGCTTGGAAAATCTCCTGGACAGAGGACCCTGGCGGGCTACAGTCCATAGGGTTGCAGAGAGTCAGACACAACTGAGTGACTGAGCACATAGCACAAAGGGGAAAGAGCATGGAGGAGGCCATCTGGGGGCTTCCTGGGCTGAGCTCAGAAGTGGCTTCTATCACTTCTGCATACACTTCATGGCAGAAGATTTGGTCCAGGCCACACTAGCTGCCAGGGAGGCTGGGAAATGCAGAGGAAGCTGGTAGCAGTGTGCTGACCACTGTGGAAGAAGAGAAGAACAGATCTGGGGGACAACTGGCTGTCTCTGTGTCACTTATAAAGAATATAAGGTAAAAGGATGAGCGTGCCCACCCTCCCACTGCCCAGGCATAACCACTCATATAATGTGCATGTGTCCATATACTAAATATTGTGTTTGATTTATATATATATCATTTTATTTATTTTTTTGTGGCTGTGCTGGCTCTTTGTTGCTGTATAAATGCTTTCTCTAGCTGTGGAGAGTGGGCGGCCTACTCCTGGTTGTGATGTATAGGCTGCTCAATGTGGTGGCTTCTCTTGTGGAGCCTGGGCTATGGGGCACACGGGATCGGTAGCTAGGGCTACTGAGCACAGTCTCAATAGTAGTGGCACACGAGCTTAGTTGCTCTGTGGCGTGTGGGATCCTCCTAGATCAGGGATCAAACCTGTCTCTCCTGCATTGGTAGGTGGATTCTTTACCAGTGAGCCACCAGAGAAGCCCTGTTTGGTCTTTTTTCATAGCTTCTGCACAGAGTTCCACTCGGAACAGGCCCAGAGTAATAATAGCTGCTATTTATAGCATGCATACCGAGCATCAGACTGTTGAATTCTCTCGACAACAGTTTGAGAAAGGTACTACTATTTTCTCCATGTTACAGATGAGGAAACTGCCAGCCAGAAAAGTTAAATAACTTGTCTGGATTCATACAGCTAATCCATGGTTGAGCCAGAATTTG